CTGTAAACAGAAATCTGTTTAAACACAGTGACCTCCAACACATCATGTGAGCAGTACTGGCAGCTGAAGGAGATCCCTTCTGACGAGCGAGACACACAGGAAGACCTGAACCCCCTGAACTCAACCAGCACTCAATTATTTATTCACAGAAGCTTTATTTATCCTGCAGCAGCTTCCTGATTCATGTTTACAGCTAAAGATCAGATAGTTACAGACCAACACAGCTACAGATCTTTAGCTACAGATCCTCACAGCTACAGATCTTTAGCTACAGATCTTTAGCTACAGAGCTTTAGCTACAGAGCTTTAGCTACAGAGCTTTAGCTTCAGAGCTTTAGCTACAGATCCTCACAGCTACAGATCTTTAGCTACAGATCTTTAGCTACAGAGCTTTAGCTTCAGAGCTTTAGCTACAGATCTTTAGCTTCAGAGCTTTAGCTACAGATCCTCACAGCTACAGATCTTTAGCTACAGAGCTTTAGCTACAGAGCTTTAGCTTCAGAGCTTTAGCTACAGATCCTCACAGCTACAGATCTTTAGCTACAGATCTTTAGCTACAGAGCTTTAGCTTCAGAGCTTTAGCTTCAGAGCTTTAGCTCCAGATCTTTAGCTACAGATATTTAGCTACAGATCCTCACAGCTACAGATCTTTAGCTACAGAGCTTTAGCTACAAATCCTCACAGCTACAGATCTTTAGCTACAGATCTTTAGCTACAGATCCTCACAGCTACAGAGCTTTAGCTACAGATCTTTAGCTACAGATCTTTAGCTACAGATCCTCACAGCTACAGATCCTCACAGCTACAGATCTTTAGCTACAGATCCTCACAGCTACAGATCTTTAGCTACAGATCTTTAGCTACAGATCCTCACAGCTACAGAGCTTTAGCTACAGATCTTTAGCTACAGATCTTTAGCTACAGATCTTTAGCTACAGATCTTTAGCTACAGATCCTCACAGCTACAGATCTTTAGCTTCAGAGCTTTAGCTACAGATCTTTAGCTACAGATCTTTAGCTACAGAGCTTTAGCTACAGATCTTTAGCTACAGATCCTCACAGCCTATCGGGCCTCAGAGGAAGCTGTTTGAAGCTGAAATAAATAAAGTTGGGAAACTGTGAAATAAACATTTGGTCTGTGGTGGTTCTGGGTCTTGAATCAGGGTTATGGGTCTTGGATCAGGGTTCTGGGTCTTGGATCAGGGTTCTGGGTCTTGGATCAGGGTTCTGGGTCTTGAATCAGCTGCTGCCTTCAAGGGCCCAGTCTTTTTATGGGACATCAGAGTGTTTTAATGTAAATTCTGCTCAAAGGCTGCAGAGGATGAGGGGACGGTTCTGAACCGGCCCACCTGCAGACTTGCCCTGACTCCAGGGCCACACCGTATTAATGGACACAACACCTGAACATCTTCATCACCTGGTCTCCTCATCATCAGAACATATTGTAGATGGAACCAGAGCAGGTTTTAATCTGGACCTTAGTCTGCAGACAGATTAAACAACCCTCAGATTGAGGCTTCATCTCCTGAGAACATCAGCAGGTAGAACCAGGAGTGAGTCCGCCCTCTGAGACACCGTGGAGCTGACTCAGCACCTCTGTCTCATGTCCATAGCAACAGCGTCCTGGTTGCTACGCCTGATGCTGAGCTGGGCTCTGATTGGACAGAACCACCTCTGTGGTGCTGGAAGCAAACCTCAGCTGAAGCAGAGAGAAGCAGCTGTGTCTGTAAACAACACCGAGGCAGGACGCTTCAGCTCTGTGTTCTGTAGAAAACACTGGAAGCAGTGTCCGTTCCTCTGCTGTGATCAGAACCACAGCTGCTCCTCAGAACCACAGCTGCTCCTCAGAACCACAGCTGCTCCTCAGAACCACAGCTGCTACTCAGAACCACAGCTGCTCCTCAGGACCACAGCTGCTCCTCAGGACCACAGCTGCTCCTCAGGACCACAGCTGCTCCTCAGGACCACAGCTGCTCCT